GAACGCGCGGGCGCTTCACGCGCGCGGCGCCGCACGGGCGCGCGCGCGCCGCGCGCGCGCGGGGCCGGCGCGTCGCGAGCGCACGGGTCGTTCGCGCGCGCGCGGGCGCCGCGGGCACGCCGCGCGCGCGAAGCCGCGCGGGCGCGCGCGCCGCATCAGCGCGAGGGGTGCAACGCACGGGCGAAGCACGTCGTACAGACGCACGAAGAAAGAGGAAGCGGCGGCCGAACAGCGGCGGCGGCGGCCCGAGCGACGGCGGCGACGCCGAGCGAGACGGCGAGCGGAACCGACCGCGAACGGACAGCGGCGGACGCGGCCCGGGCGGCGGCGGCGGCGCCGAGCGAAAACAGCAGACGGCCAGACGCAACGGCAAACAGCGTTGGCGGCGGCGCGAGCGACGGTGGCGACGCCGAGCGAGACAGCGAGCGGCCCGGGCGCGGAGGCGAACCGGAGGGAGCCCAGGGCGTGGGGGCCGAGCCGACGGGGCGCGAGGACGGGAGCGGAGGGCCCGAGGGAGAGCAGGCGACCGAGGGCCCGAACGACCGACAGCGCGGCAGCAAGAACGCGAGGCCAGAGACAAGAAGAACGCAAAGCCAGAGGCCGAGACGGCGGCGGCGGCAGGGCGACGACTAACGAGAGCCGCGGCCGACGGACGGAGCAGACCAGAACAGACCGGCAGGGCGAAGCCGACGGAGACACCGAGACGCGCGGGCGCGAGACCGAAGGCCCAGGACCGAAGCACGGCCGACACAAACGCAAGACGGGGCCAGGAAAACGCGGACGCGACACGGGGGCCGACGCCGAGGCGACCGACGACCACGCGAACGAAACCGACCGCGAGGGGAGGCGGGGCGGCGAAAGCCAAATGCCATCCGGCGGCCAAGCAAAGGAAAAAGGCGCCCAAAAGAGCAACGGCACCCCCTGCGCCGCGCGGCGCAGGGGTGGGCCCCGCGCCCCGCGTGCCCGACGGAGGCGCCGCACTTCTCGTGGCGCGGTCCTCCGTCTCCCAGCGCGGCGCGCGCGTGACCGCGCCAGGCGCCGCGCAGTGCACTCGTGGCGGGCCCCCCCCTGGCATTCGCGCCTCTGCACAACGCGCGCGCCTTGCGCCACCCAATCGGTATTTCATCGTTGGCTCCCCGCCATTGAGAACCCGCGGAACCTCAGGTTGGAGTGCATGCCTCCCACCAGGGCTGGCCACGAAGTGCTCAGCCGTCTGAAGAAGGGACTGCCTCTTAAGTCTGGAGGCAGGTTCCCTGATTTGTGATGTGGCCCAGCGTGCCCCGCCTAGCTGCAGGTCACCACGCATAGAGGTATAATAGAATAGAACGCGAGAGCGACGCGCCCCCCCGCGCGCGGATGCCGATTCGGCCAATGTCACGGAGCGGGTGCGAGGCTAGTTTCTGGCGCCGAAGCCCTCGTGGGTCGACGCGCCAGTCTACGCGCCCCCCATTTGCGATCTGGCACTGGTTTCTCTCCCCGCGGCGATCCCGACGCCCGCGCTCGCGCGGGTTCAGTGGCCCCCGACGAATGCGCGGCCGCATGCACGAGGGCGGCAGAGAAGTCCGAGACGATGCATGCGGAAGCCCCGATGGCAGCGAAAGGAACGAAGGGGGGCCCCGCGGGAAGGACGGCGATCTATTATCCGACTTGCAGAATATGCACGACGGCGCTCTCGAATGGTCACCGGTTTAAGAACGAGGGGGCGCGTCTGAAGTGCACTGACGACGGCGCGCGCATCGGATGTCCAAGGGCATTCTCCGCCTGCCAAGATCACCAGACAGCCGTCGTCATCATTGGTCAAGGTAGAACCAGGGCTGCGCCTGGGGGCGTGCTGAAGGGGGGAGAGGTCGACCTTGGAGCTGAAGTAGACTGCGACCTCCTCCTGGGGCGGTTTTCTTCGAGGGAGCTTGCTCCCGAGAAGCTGTGGGCACCCTGGTGCCAGACGAGACGCAGAAAGAGAGGGGGGCGCACGGGCTCGAAGGCGAGGCTGGTCGGGCGGGCGCGAACGGCCCGCGCGCCGAAGCCGGCGCTCAGCCATCATGGTAATTGTTATCGAATGGCTAGCGTCCCGACGCTTGTGTACTGCCGCGGTCCAGAACGCGACGCTGCGCGACCTGTTCGACCGGGGTGCAGCGGGAATGCGCGCGCGCAAAGACCAGACCATCGTCATTACTTCCTGCGACTTGCCGACTTCGTTGCGGCCTGACGTCGAGCAGGCTGGCGGCTGTGCTCGCGCGCCGTCGACGCCGCCGGCTGGCGCCGAGCCCAACGCGGGCGAGCTCGTAGTTCCGCGTGAAGTTGATTGCTGCTGAAGCAAGGCCGTCAAAAGCTCCGGGGAGGTGGCCGAGGGGGCTTGCGCCTTTGACGGCGCCAAAGCCACCCCAGCGCGCCCCAGCGCGCCGCGCCTTCTACTCGCAGGCGTGGGATATGTCTCGGGGCGGCCTGGGCTTCGCCTGAGACCCCCAGCTGAGGGATCCGTCTTCGCAGACGGGCGCGGGCGACGGCTTCGCGGCGGTGGGCTCAGGCGCAGGCGGTCGGCGGCAGTGTTTCAGGGGGGGGAAATCACGCAGACGCAAGAAATCGTCGACCCCCAGGGAAAACAGCGAAACTATGGGAAGTGAAGGGGAACACGGATGCCCCGGATATGTGCGACAATATTGGGAATCTTTTTGTATGTATTTATTGGTGTGTTCCAGGTCCCCTTCAGTGTTGCTGCGGTCGCCGGTCGAGCTTCGTTGACGCGGCCCTCCGCCCGCGCCTCGCCTCGACCTGACAGGCCAATGCGAAGCGGCTGTGTCAGTCTCGTCCAAGGGTTTCCAAGGGCGACAACTTCGAGCTCTATTGCAAGGCGATCGTCGGTCCAGTCGCGCTGGAAGGATGCGTCCCTGACAGACCTGACGTTCGGGAGACAGTATGGACGCCCCTGTGGAAGATCAGAGAGGCATCGCAGGGTCGCGGGGTCTGCGACCAGGCACCCGAGGAGATCGATTGGGCGCTGCGAGAATCTATGCGGAAATTTCGCAGCAAACGGCCGAAGGCCCGTATCGTTGAAGTCTCCACTGACATGGCCAACGTGGTCGAGCTCCTGCGCGACAACAGCCGGCATTATGGCGCAGCATGGGCTGGCTTCCCGCATTGGGGAGCGGAGCTCGAGACGGAGTCCTGCTGCAAGCCGTGCTGCGTCAACCCTTCAACGGGCCGGCTCGCGGCTCGCCCTATAGGCTGGCGTCGACCTGGGTGCGCCGGCGCCGGCGAGCGCCGCGGCCGACGCGCGCTGGGCGCGACGCGCGCGGGGGGATTTCTTGGCGACCCGGCGCGCCAACAATTCCACGTCCGAGCAAGACGAGACTCCTGGGGAAGACGAGGAGGCGCCCTGCGGCCGCGCGGCGGGCGCCTCCCCGGGCGCCAGACGCCCGCGGAAAGGGGTGGTCAGCGGCGCGAGTCGGTTGTGCGAGGCGCCCAGAGACGAGCGCATCCATGCGGGGGCGATAGCTTTCCGCGGGCTGGGATCGCTGCGCCAGCGCAACACATGGGGCTTCCTGGGGCCAGGCGGGGTCGCGACCCAGCGCCGCCGCGAAGGTGCCATTCGAGTGCTCCGGAGGCCCTCCTCCTCATCGGCCGGGGGGTTATCCTGTCTTTCCATGTCCTCGAAAAGAAGGATGGTAGCGTCATCCGTCCGACAGACGCGCTTCCGGCAGGTCTACCTTTGTTTTCGTTTAGGCTGCTAGCGCACTGCATGCAGCGCGGTGGCGCAGGATGCCTTCGCGCCTCCAAGTATCACGTGCCAGTTCTGCAACGCAGAGGTGGCGTTCCACGTGGATGCGCGCGCTCCTCCTCGCCGGCGGGCGCGCAGCGACTGGGCGGATTCCCGCGCGCGCGCGACGCCCGCGCCGAAGCTAGCGAGCATAAGAGGGAGGTCTTTGACATGTGGTGCGAGGATCAGATAGCGGAGCAGGCGCTAGACAGCTCGGACGACCGACCCAGATGGGCCTGAAGGAAGCTGGTGGGCGCCAGCGAGGTGCAGGAGCAAAAGCAGGTGGGCGCCGGCGAGGGGGGACGAACGCGTCGAGAAGCTCATGTCTTGAAGCTGGCGCGGGCGTGGAGGAGGCAGAGGAGACTCGCGGCTGTGCCGCGTGCCCCTCGCACGAGAACCCCCAACGGCCCGGGCCCCGATGTGGGGGGGTGCGCTTGTCGAGGTGCCGGAGGGCCCGCAAGTCGAGGTGCCCAGGGGCCCGCCTGTGCCGGTACCTGAGGATCTGATTGCTGATGTGCCCGAGGGCCCGTCTGCGGCGGTGCCCCAGGGCCCGCCTGTGGCGGCGCAAGAGGGCCCGCGTGTCGGGGCGCCCCAGGGCCCGCCCGCGGTGGTACCTGAGGACCCGCTTGCGGCTGTGCTCGAGGACTCGCCTGTCGAGGCGTTCGAGATCGAACGCAACAAAAGGGGGCGGCCTCTTGGCGGCCGGGCGCGCGTCTCACCGCGCGCAACTGCGCGCTCCAACGAGGGTGGCGAGTCAGGGGGGCAGCGAGCCCGAAGAAGACGGCGAGTCAGAGGAGGGCGGCGAATCAGAACCCCTGAGGAGGCCGACGAGTAATATCAGGAACCTGAATGGGGGGGCCGAGAGGCGGATCGCGCAGGCTGTGCCATCGCACCCCCGGTCCGATCTACGCGGCGCCGAGAGCCCGAGGCAGAGCCCGTCTGCCTCGCGCCAGCTCTTGTTCCCCTGGCGATCATCATCGACAAGCTGCCGCGAGCTGTTGGGCGGATGTGCCTCTGGCTTGCGGGGGCGCCAACGCCGTCGATTGAAGGGCCCCTGGCTTCCTTGGAAGTGCCGCTGCGGCTGTTGGCTGAGAAGGGGCGCGCTGCCCACGTCGACTTGGGGCGCGCCGTGCGCGGCCCTCGCGCCCCGCTCCGACCCGCGCCAGAGAAAGAGGGCAAAGGCCTCCAGGCCGCGTTGGCGAACGTCGACAGATAGCCAGAGGAGGCGCGCGACTCTGGCCGGGCGATGCGCGCGTTCAGGGGCACTTGCGAGGAACTCCAGACCAGGCCGCTAGAGGCCGCGAGGGATCTCATCGGCGGCGCGCTGCTAGGGCTAACGCCGCAGCAGCGCGGCATTGCCGACCGATTCCTAGAATGCGTTGTTACGCCGTAGAGTCCCGCGAGCTCTCCCCGGCGCGCCCCACGAATTGGCGCCAATGCGCACGCGCGCGAAGCGACGCGCAGACGCTCGGCGCAGCGGCGTCGGGGACGAGGAAGCCGAACGGCTGGCATCGCCCATTGTCAATTTGGCGAGGCACAGCTTAGCATATGTACCCCCCTCGGGAGTTTGGGCATGAGCGGAGGTCATCGCGGGCGTGATCGAGGGCGCCGGCGATGACAGGGCTTGGGCGCGCGCCCCGCGTGCCCTAGCCACGCTGCCCGTCGACGCCGCGCAAGCCGCGGGGGTTCAAGGCGCGGTGGCGACGCCGTCGCCGGGCCGCCCGTCTGGGGCGAGAGCTTCGCGCGCGCGCGCGTCCCGGGCGAGAGCTTCGCGCGTGCGCGCCCGTCCAGGGACCGCGCCGCTGGCGGCCGCGAGGTCGAGCGGCCCGGGGTCGAGCCGCTGCTAGCTGATCCGTGCCTGCAGAGGCCAGCCACTCGGTCCGAGTGATTTCACCCGAACGGATTTACGTCAAGTGCGCGCCGTCCGCCAGGCATCAGCGCGCGGCCGTCATTGCGCCGCTCGACGTGGCCTCCGCGATCCAGTCGATGGCTGGGCAGGTGGTGGCCCTGGAGGAGAAACTCTGTGGGACGCGACAGTGCAAGCACCTCGACCCTCGACGGTCAACTGCCCTGCCGTCGACGACTTTGTCGCCGAAGCCGGGAGGGGTAGTGCCAGCGGGGCAATTGGGTTGGTCCGTCGAGGCCCAGGGATGAAGCGCGGAGAGGACCCTGAGAATTCCCCGAGCTGGCTCAGGCCGAACGGGTGGTCGAGGGACTACGGTGCAATGGGTCTTGATGCAAGCTATTTCAGCTAACGGGAAAAAAGCTTCCGGCCTCTCCATCCTTCGGCCGGCCGACTTACATGCACGTATCATAGTGGATTCGTTTAGCCGACATGTTCGCCATGGCAACGAGTACGTCCCATGCGAAGCGGAATCTGATACCTGTTCTAGAAGATCATGTAGAGCAGCATGCATACTACGATACGAGCCTATCAACAGGATCAAGATAGTTCCCGAATCCTTGACGATCCGGCAACAGGCTTATTTCTCTCTTCCTGTCTTCCTCGTTGTCTCAGTCTCCAGGTGGCTCTTTCGTTTTGCCTTTCCATGTTTCATAGACTTGGCCGCCTTTTCTGTTTTCCGATGTTGTTTATTTGTTTGTTCATATATCGTTACGCTTTCCCTCACATATATATATATATATGTATGTTTCGCTCTCTCTCCCTCATATATATATATATATAGATATGTCCCTCTTTCCCCACATGTCACTCTCTGGTCATCCTCTGTTGCTGGGAAGCACCTGGAGAAATCTTCGCGGCGTCGTGGAGGTATTCTGTTCCTTTCATGTCCCGTCGTGGGTGACCAGTCCTTGTGCGGATCAAAATGTGTCTGCTTACCCGAGGTGAAGATCTCCTGGGGGCGCTCCCTTGCCATACCGGCTGTGGCGGGCGGGCTGGCTTGTTTCCACTTCAACGACCTGTGCCGCCGGCCGCTGGCGGCAGAGGATTTCTTGTGCCTCGCCACCAGGCTGGGGCGGGGAGGGGGAGGAGGAGGAGGGCGTGGTCGTCGTGGACGAGGAGGGGCGGTGGCTGCTCCGGCTCTTGTTTTAGCCCAGCGTTCTGACTTGTCGAAACTCTGAGGAAGGCGGAGGCGAAGGCGGAGGAGGAACGGGAAGGGAAGGGTAGGGAGAGGAATAAAAAACAGGGAGGAGGAGGTGGAGGAGGAGGAGGAATAGAGGGCAACGAGAAGAAGGAAAGGAGGCGCAGGTGAAGGATCAGGATCAGGATCAGGATCAGGATGAGGATGAGCATGAGCATGATTATGATGATGAGGAGGCGGAGGACGAAGAGGATGAGGATGAGGATGAGGATGATGACGATGTTGATGCTGATGCTGCTGATAATGATGATGAGCATGATCAGGATGATGGGGATTGTGATGATGCTGATGATGATGGTGATGATGATGCTGATGCTGATGATGGTGACTGTGATGGTGATGATGATGACGATGACGACGACGATGACGATCATGATGATGATGCGGATGATGATGATTATGATGATGATCATGATGATGAGCATGATTATGACGACGATGATGATGCATATGATGATGATGATGCTGATGATGATGATGATGATGATGATGGTGGCGATGATGATGATGCTGATAATGATGATGATGATGATGATGATGATGATGATGATGATGATGATGATGATGATGATGATGATGCTGATGATGATGATGGTGATGATGATGATGATGCTGATGATGATGATGATGATGATGATGATGATGATGATGATGCTGATCGTGATGATGAGGAGGAGGAGAATGAGGAACAGTAGGAGGAGGAGGAGAAGGAGTAGCAGGAGGAGGGGAGAGGAGGAATATGCTGTGGACCGGATCGCGAATGATGTATTGGGAATGGGCTACGGCGGGGCGAGCGGTTTTACGTAGCACCCCGCAGTTGCGGATAAGAGTAAGAGGGCGGGCTGTTGGGTCGCGGGGTGGGTCGGCGGGGTTGGTCGCGGGTGGGTCGCGGACGAGGACGACGACAACCAACAAACACACAAACAAACAAACAAAACACAAACAAACACACAACCAACTGACGAACAAACGAACACCACACAAACACTCGCTCGCAAACAAACAAACAAACCAACACAAACAAACCAACACACAAACAAACAAGCAAGCAAGCAACCAAACAAATGCACACACCTTACGACTGTTCGCTCTTACCTGCTCGCGCGTTATTTCAAACGTATACCTCAAATCCGCGATACGCGCCCTCATCGTTTTCGATCGTACCCCCTTTTGGGTATGTCTTTCTTACCTGCCACGTGTAATTGGTGCAGCCATGGTCCGTTCGCGGCCAGATGGTGGGGATGTCTCCATCGAGGCTACAGGGCGTTTTTCGTTACAGATGCTTATGGTCACAGCGATGTGGCAGGGATGGCATTTCGGCCACGCAATGGGGAGCCGACCAAGGGTTTTCCACGGGCCCAGCCCGTCCTTTGCCAGGTTGTGGGGGTGTCTCCAACGAAGCATCCGTTCGCGGCTCTGGACGTGTCCAGTTGCATGTACCCAGTCCGCCTGCTCTCATGTGCCACCTACCTAGAGCTTCTTTTGGGCCGTCTCGGGCCTTCAGGCGCCTTCGGAGACGATCTTTGGAACCCATCTGGACCGCGTGTGGGACTTTTAGGGCCGTCGCGGGACTCTCTCGAGTGGTCGTGAGGAACCGTCTTGAGGCTGTCTTGGGGCCTTATTGGGCCGTATGGGGGCGATTTGGGAGCCCCTTGGGCCTTCTGGGGGCGATCTTGGGGGTCTGTTGGGCAGTTTTAGAATCGGCGAGAACGCGACAACCATTATAAAACTCAAGGGCACTTCGTGATTTTGGCCCCCCGGGAGTCTTTGGCGGTCTTCTTGGAGCCGTCTTGGAGGCCATGTTGGGCCGTCTTGGGGCCATCTCGCGCCGTCTGGAGGCATCTTGGGACCATCTTGTCCGATTTGTAGGCCGTCTTTGCCATCTTAGAGGCCTCCAGTGGCCATCTTGACCGTCTTGAACGTTCTGTTGGAGCCATCTGAGACGGAGATGCCCGCGTGGACCGCCTTCGCCGCGTGGCCGGCCGTCTGAATGAGGAGACGTCAGAGGGGCCCGTTCGGCCGCGGGGCCCCAGTACAACGATCTGCTCAAGCATAGTTTTGCTCAAGTCTCGGGTGGAACCGCCCTTTCGAATTCGAACCCGATGGTTTGAAACTCCAGTCGAGATCGCTTTTTGAAGGAAGTCTCGGGCGGGGGTATCATTTTGAAGTCCATCCCGGAAGTTCCCAAATGTTTCTAAATTCTTTCATGGGAGGAAGCCACATCGAAAACCACGTTTTCGAAATCTCTGGTCAGAAGTTACAACATTTAAATGCCAAACGGTGCCACCATTGCGATACGACGGTTTCGCTCCAGCTTTCTTCAAACAACAAGTATGACTGATTTCGAAATTGTCGGGTTTGATTTCGAAATGATGCTTCCGCCCAAGACTTCCTCCAAAGTAGAATTCGAAGCCTTTCTGGCTAGATTTCGAAAGGGCGCTCCCACCCAGGACTTCCCCCGAAAGCCTTCTGGGTTCGATTTGGAAATGGCGCTCCCGCCAAGGACTTGAAAACTGGAATTCGACACCCCTAAGTTCTGTTTCGGAATGGCGCCCCCGCCCAGGACTTTCTCGAAAGTAGAGGTTGCCACTTCCTCAGCTCGAATTTTCAACGGCGCTCCCGCCTAAGACGTGCTTTGGTGAATGCACGGGATGGGTCAACTTTCTCGTAGCGCCGATGTATCGGAATTGTTGCGATAAATCGTACTAGTGCGCGGCGACGACCACGACGATTTTCTTCTTCGTATTATCATTACCACTGGGTCTTATTGTGCTAGAATCGCTCAGGCGTTCCGACTAGGGATATCATGTCACAGTTTGTGTTTCCGCGGCTAGTTCAATGTTGGTTTTCATTGGTACCAGCGCTCCTGCTGCCATGATTTTGCCATTATCGATCCTCCTTTTTGCCCTCTTACTCTTGGAGTCGCCCCCTTCTGTCTCCCTTCTCTTCCGCGTCCTCTCCTCTCGTCGTCCAGGCTCATCTCTTTCTTATTCTACCCTCGTCAATTATTTGCCCTTCTCCTCGGGCGCCAGGGGTCGCTATCGCGTCAGATGACACGCGCGCGCGCCGCGCCAGGTTTCATACCGTGTTCGTCCACGGGGTACCTCGGCTTTCCCTCGAGGACCGCTTTGCTGGATGTGTCGCCTGGCGCCTTGCGCTGTGTTGCGCCGACAGAAGCTGTTTGTGGTGTGTAAACATGTATGTACATATATATATATATATAATTACCCACTGCGTGGAGCTCCCCATGCGCGGATCTCTTTTAAACATTTTTTTATATATATGGGATTTGTCTATGAACAGCTAGCCATATGAGCTATCTGTGCATATCATGTAGTATATTAGTGCCATGTTGGGCATCTGTATATGCAAGTATTGGTCCAATAGCACGTCTATGTGAGCGACGAGCACACGTGCGCGCAGCTCGGCTATACATTGAACACATTTACACATTCATTCACATTCACATGTTCGCGCATTTGTTGGCAATGCAACAACTTCCAGCGGTACAGCGTCCGAAACACCAGGAACTAATACGAAATACAGTGCTTCAAACGGCACCTCGCGATATGCTCCTCAGCTTTAACCGCCCGCACTTCGCATCGGGCCTAGCTGGCAACGCAAGCAGACACCGTAGGCTCATGGCGTGCAGGAGGCACGAGCTACACATGGCACCCTCTCGGTTTGCGCCTCGGCTTTGGCCGTCCGCGCTTGGCATCGGGCCTAGCTGGCAACGCAACCCCCCTGGCGGCGCCCTTTCGGGGTGTTGAAACCAGCGCCCCGTCTGAGACATCCTCACATTCTGTTCTAAACGCGGACGACGTTGGCCACCCAAACAGGCAACACGCATGAGGCATCCCTACAAACTGGCCGCGGACGGGCCCATGCAATACCCCCATGGCGGCTCCCTTTAAAAAAGGTGCTGAAGCCAGCGCCCTGCCTGAGACATCCTTGCAATAATCTTTTACACGCAGGCGGCGATCATCCCCACAATCTGGCCGCGAACTGGCCCGTGCAATACCCCTCTGGCGGCTCCCCTTCCGGGTGCTGGAACCAATTCTCCGCTTGTGACATCTTCACAATCTGGTTTATACGCGGGCGATGTTGGCCGCCGAAACAGGCAAACCGCTTGAAACTACCACAAGGTGGCCGCGAACGGGCCCATGCAATACCCCCTGGCGGCTCCACTGAGGGGTGCTGAAACCAGCGCCCCGACTGAGCTATCCTTGCAATAAGCTTTACACGCAGGCGATGTTGGCCGCCGAAACAGGCAAACCGCTTGAGACATCCCCACAAACTGGCCACGTACGGGCCAATGCAACACCCCCATGGCGGCTCCCCTGAAGGGTTCTGAAACCAGCGCCCCGCCTGAGGCATCCTGACACTTTGGTCTTTGCGCAAACGATGTTGGCCACCGAAACAGGCAAACCGCTTGAGACACCCCCTCAAAGTGGCCGCGAACGGGCCCGTGCAATACCCCTCTGGCGGCTCCCCTGAGGGGTATGAAACCAGCGCCCCGCTTGAGACATCCTCACACGTTGCTCTACACGCAGACGATGTTGGGCACCGCAGCGGGCAAACGCCTGAGACATCCCCACAAGCTGGCCGCGAACGGGCCCATGCAATACCCCCTGGCGGTTCCTTTTATGGGTGCTGAAGCCAGCCCCTTGCCTGTGACATCTTCACAAATAGTTGTCAACACGAACGATGCTGGGCACCGCAACAAACAAACCGCCTGAGAGGCCGTGGGATACCCCTCTGGCGGCTCCCCTTGGGGGTGGTCAAGCAAGCACCCCACCTGAGACATCTTGCGAATCTGCTGAATATGAATGAGTGGTTGCGACAGAGCTGTGGCATGAGTGACCCCGAGAGAATATGAGTATGAGTGAGTCTGAATGTGAACAATTCTGAATTGTATGAGTGCGACGGAGTCTTAGTATGGACGAGTCTAACGGGACGAGTATGGGACGAGGCCAGACTGAGGAGTCGGCGGCGCCAGACTAATGACAATAACCCCATCTCAAGATATGGGGAACTAGAGAAGCATATTTTTTATGATTCGCCGAGTGGCGCGCGAAGCGTAGCAAATGAAAGACACAGGGAAGCTATACAGTGAAAACGAAAGCAACAGGCATGGCAGGGCAGGTGCCGCCAATACAGCTGCTACACACGAGCACGGCCAACGGTTGAGCCGTCAGCTCGGCGAGCCGGGCCTTTCGCCAAAGCATGGGAGTGCCCCGCGCGCTGGGCTTCGCGACGGAGCTCCTGATCCATTAAGTCGAGCTTCTCGACGACAGAATCCGGGAGCGGCGGGAAACGCTTGCGGTTTGCCCGAATTTCGTTCCAGCACTTGGGCCGGCGCGAATCGCACAAGTGAGACAGGAGACGGAGGCGGCTCCCGAACGAAGTGCCGCAAGCGAGGCACGCGGCATCAGCTGGCGCCCCAAAATCGTTGCAGGCACTTTTGGCCATGCTTCATGCGCATATGCTGACTCAGCGCCTTCGCAGACGCGAAGCGGCTGTCACAAATCGCGCAAACATGCGGGCGAGTGCCGCCAGCCGTAGACGCTGGAGCGGCAGCGGCGGCATCGCAACACGAGTCAACGAAGTGAAAGGCGCTCACCGCACTGGACCAACGCCCGGGAGAGGCCAAAGTGAACTCAGTCCATGTCGATGCGCCGGCTGTGGGGCAAGGGAGGTGCGAGCATAGTGCAACCAGCTCCCGTAGCTTCAACATGTCCGTGGTCAGCAGCTGTGCCCAAGGCAACGGTCGATCTTTGGGACGCGTGCTCAGCGTCGCCAGCAGGGCCGACGGCTGCGACCGCAGCAAGCGGCCAAGATACCGCAGACGAGCGCGCATCATCAAGCAATCGATGCTCGCCCTCCCAAGGCGATCGCGTTCCGTGACATCGTGGGCAGTGTGCCCAAAGCGAGGCGCCCCGGCGATCCTCCGGAGAACTCGCATGTACACGGCTATGATGGTGAGAGTGAACCGTCGAGTCGGCACGAGGATGTGGACATTGTGCAACAACCGGCTCAGGATCAAGTTTTGCATCGTCCAAAATTTGAGGTCGTCAGACACCGCGGGGCTGCCGAAAAGCTTGGTTGCAAGCGGGGCGTAGCTCTTCATGGCCGCGCCGCGAAGATGCTGAGCAGCAGGGCCGAGCGAGCCATTGGAGCACAGGACGCCTCCGAGATGGGTGCACTTACGGACGACATGCAAGAGCACGTTGCGACCAGGAACCGCTATCGCAACGCCACCACCGCGCTGGACGCGCCATTTCTCCAAGCACGAAGTGGCGCCAGTGCCGCGATAGACCAAGAAGCATTCCGATTTGCCAGGCTTCCAAATATGAAAAAGGTGCTGCTCAGACTCTTGGGCGCCCCCAGACTCTGGGAGTTTGGGGTTGCTCCGACTTTGTCTCTCGCTGTCCGACTGTGTCTCCTCGCTCCTACCCCCTGCCTCCTTCTCCTGGTCCTCCTCCCTATTTCTCTTCCTACTCCCTCTTCGCCTGCTTTTCCAGGTCCTTTTCTTCCTCTTCCTCCTGTTCCTCCTCCTCCTCCTCCTCCTCCTCAACCTCCTCCTCCTCCTCCTCCTGCTCCTCCTCCTCCTCCTCCTCCCCCTCCCCCTCCTCCTTTCCTCCTCCTCCTCCTCTCCTCCTCCTCCTCCTCCTCCTCCCTCCTCCTCCTCCTCCTCCCCTCCTCCTCCTCCAAGAGGCCTCTAAGACGCCCAAGATGGCCTCCAAGACGGCCCTGAAGCGCCTCAAGAGGACCCCACATCGGTTCAAAGAGGCCCCCAAGATGGCTTCCGACGGCGTCAGACCCGTCAGACGGGCCAGGAACGCTTCAAGACGGCCAAGGAGAGGCCCCCAAGACGCCCCCACGGCCCCCAAGAGGCCTAAGGAGGCCCCCGAGAGGCTTCCAAGAGGCCCCCGGGAAGCCTCCAGGAGGCCCCACAAGAGTGCCCAAAGAGGCTCCCAAGAGGCCTCCTCCTCCTCCTCCTCCTCTTCCTCCTCCCTCTCCTGATCCTCCCCCTCAGCCTCCCCCAAGTGTTCCCCGAAGAGTTTCCGGAGCGGCTGGGGGAATACATAATCAGATAGCTTGGCCAAGCTGGGGCCCAACGTTTGGCCACATAGGCGCTTCTCAAAAAGGCTGGGGGCGGCGGTGATTCGCCGTAGGCGTCTTGGATCCGCCGCCCCCTGTGCTTGCCACAGGGGTGGACGGCGTGCCAGACATTTTGCTGCTCTTCTTATTTTCAAACCCTTCCCAGTGGCCTTCGGCCCAGACCGCCTGCCCTCGGAAGGACCAGAAGGTGTGGCCACATCGCCACTAAGACGGCCCAAATGGCCCAAGATGGCCACCAAGATGCCCCCAAGGCGGCTAGGATCGCTCCAAGAGAGCCCAAGACGGCCCCAATATGTTTCCAAGACGGCCCAAGATGCAACCGAGGCGTTCCAAGATGGCCCCAAGATGGCCCAGGACGGCCCCAAAGGCCCCCAAGAGGCTTTTAATGCAGTCCAAGAAGCCTCCAAGGGGACCTGCAGGAAGGCCCGAAGAGGCCAAGACAGCTGATTTCCCGTGGGCTCTTGATGGATTTTAACGTTTTCGGCCTGCCGACGGCCCAGTGCCGCCGAAGAGACCCCCAAGATGGCCCCAAGAGCGCCCAAGAGGCCTCCAAGACGGCCCCACGACGGCCTCCAGACGGTCCAAAAGGCCCCCAAGGCGCCTCCAAGACGGCCCACGAGAACTCCAAGGCGCCCACTCGTCATCGTGGTTGTCGCCGTCATCGTCGTCGTCGTCATCGTCGTCGTCGTCGTCGTGGTCGTCAAACCTCTTCCAGTTTCCTAATCAAACCCCTCTCCCTCTCCCTCTCCCTTCCCCCTCCACCAACCCCCCCACCCCCCCTCCACCCCCCCCTCCACCACCCACCTCAGCCCCCCCTCCACCTCCCCCTCCACTCCCCGTCCAACTCCCCCTCCACCCCTTCGGATGTCCCTTGGAACCTTTTTGGGAGCACCCAGGGGGCTCCAGAGGGCCCCAAGAGGGCTCCAAGACGCGCCCCAGAGACCACTGAGAGGTCTCATCCAGACGCGCTGATCGATGACACCTACTAGCGGTTTCTGAGGCCTCTCTTGGGCCCCTCTTGGGCCCGTTTGGGGGCCCTCTTAGGGCCTTCTTGGAGCCATCATGTGGGCCAACAAGGGGCCCAAGAGGGCTCCAAGAGGGCCCCAAGAGGGTTCAGGAGTTATGTACCAGCGGCCGCTGGGTTGGTACATAATTCCTGGGGCCCTCTTGGAGCCCTCTTGGGGCCCTCTTGGGTCCCTCTTAGGGCCAACCCGGGCCCCAAGAGGGCTCCAAGAGGGCCCCAAGAGGGCCCCAAGAGTGATGTACCAGCGGCCGCTGGGTTGGTACATAATTCCTGGGGCCTTCTTGGGGCCCTCTTAGGGCCAACCAGGGGCCCAAGAGGGTTCCAAGAGGGCCCTCAGAGGGCCCCAAGAGGGCCCCAGGAATTATGTACCAGCGGCCGCTGGATTGGTACATAATTCCTGGGGCCTTCTTGGGGCCCTCCTAGGGCCAACCAGGGGCCCAAGAGGGCTCCAAGAGGGCACTCAGAGGGCCCCAACAGGGCCCTAGGAGTTATGTACCAGCCCAGTCTTAGGGACCCCTTGGAGCCATCTTATGGGCCGATGTCCCACGGGGACCACCGGGTAACTCCGATGTCCCACGGGGGATACCGGGTAACTCCGATGTCCCACGGGCCGATGTCCCACGGGGACCACCGGGTAATTCCGACGTCCCACGGGGGACACCGGGTAACTCCGATGTCCCACGGGCCGATGTCCCACGGGGACCACCGGGTAACTCCGATGTCCCACGGGGACACCGGGTAACTCCGATGTCCCACGGGGGGGCACCAGGTAAATCGTGCCCAGACCCCCCCTTGCAAGGTCGAGTTACCCGATGTCCCCCGGGGGACACCGGGTAACTCCGATGTCCCACGGGCCGATGTCCCACGGGGACCACCGGGTAACTCCGATGTCCCACGGGGGACACCGGGTAACTCCGATGTCCCACGGGCCGATGTCCCACGGGGACCACCGGGTAACTCCGATGTCCCACGGGGGACACCGGGTAACTCCGATGTCCCACGGGCCGATGTCCCACGGGGACCACCGGGTAACTCCGATGTCCCACGGGGGACACCGGGTAACTCCGATGTCCCACGGGCCGATGTCCCACGGGGACCACCGGGTAACTCCGATGTCCCACGGGGGACACCGGGTAACTCCGATGTCCCCCCACGGTAACTCCGATGTCCCACGGGGGACACCGGGTAACTCCGATGTCCCACGGGCCGATGTCCCACGGGGACCACCGGGTAACTCCGATGTCCCACGGGGGACACCGGGTAACTCCGATGTCCCACGGGCCGATGTCCCACGGGGACCACCGGGTAACTCCGATGTCCCACGGGGGACACCGGGTAACTCCGATGTCCCACGGGAGGCCACCGGGTAACCATGCCCAGACCCCCCTTGCAATGTCGAGTTACCCGATGTCCCCCGGGGGACACCGGGTAACTCCGATGTCCCACGGGCCGATGTCCCACGGGGACCACCGGGTAACTCCGATGTCCCATGGGGGTCCACCGGTTTACTGAATAATGCCGAATGCGCCCCTTGCAAGGTCGACTTACTCGACGCCCCTCGGGGGACACCGGGTAAGTGGGGGGTGTGGAGCGCACCCCCCGCTTACCCGATGTCCCCCAGGGGACACCGGGTAACTCATGCCCGACTCCCCCCCGTGCAAAGTCGAGTTACCCGATGCCCCCCCCTCGCCACCGGGTAACCCGTGCCTAACACCCCCCCCTGCAAGGTCGAGTTACCCGATGTCCCCTGGGGGACACCGGGTAAGTGGGGGGTGTGGAGCGCACCCCCCAGTTACCCGATGCTCCCAAGGGGGGGCGCCAATAACTTATGCCCGTCGTCGTCGTCGTCGTCGTCGTCGTTGTCGCCGGTCGTCGGTCGCGGGCCGGAAAAATTTGAGGCTTCGGATCCGTTTCGGGGCCCCCCTGGGCCCCGAGGGCTCCAAACCCCTGGGGAAAAGCAGCAGCAAAACTTACCACTCCAGGTCGAGGCGTCGTCGTCGTCGTCGTCGTCGCGTCGTCTGCGGGTCGAGAGCTCCAGGATGGGGCCGAAAGCTCCGGGTTGGGGTCGGGAGCTCCTGGACGGGGTCGAGAGCTCTGGGGTCGAAACAGGGGCCAGGAAATTTGGTCCAAGTATCGCTGCCTGGTCCTGCAGGGGCTGGGTAAGGGTGCGTTTACACCTCCTCGTCGTCGTCGTCGCCGAGGAGGAGGAGGAGGGCCCCAGGAGTTCTGTACCACCGGCCGCTGGGTTGGTACATAATTCCTGGGGCCTTCTTGGAGCCCTCTTGGCGCCCTCTTGGCGCCCTCTTGGGGCCCTCTTGGGGCCCTCTTGGGGCCCTCTTGGGGCCCTACAGGGCCAACCAGGGGTCCGAGAGGGCTCCGAGAGGGCCCTCAGAGGGTCCCAAGAGGGTTCAGGAGTTCTGTACCAGCGGCCGCTGGATTGGTACATAATTCCTGGGGCCTTCTTGGGGCCCTCTTGGCGCCCTCTTGGGGCCCTCTTGGGGCCCTTTTGGGGCCCTCTTGGGGCCCTCTTAGGGCCCTCTTGGAGCCCTCTCATGGGCCAACCAGGGGCCCAGGAGGGCTCCAAGAGGGCCCTCAAAGGGCCCCAAGAGGGCCCCAGGAGTTATGTACCAGCGGCCGCTGGGTTGTTGCACAACTCCTGGGGCCCTCTTGGGGCCCTCTCGGAGCCCTCTTAGGGCTCTCTTGGGGCCCTCTTAGGGCCCTCTCGGGGCTATCTTATGGACGGCGACGACAACGACAACGACGACGACGATGACGACGACGACGACGACAACGACGACGACGACGACGACGTCCACGACGATGGTGGTGACGACGACGACCACGACGACGACGATGACAACGACGACCACGATGACGACGCGCCCGAAATCAGCCGACAAAGCGACCTAGTAGTTAAACCGACAAGGTGTCCTTCTTTTGGCGCAGCGGCTCCGAGACAGCCTGCAGGGCAGCCTCTTTTTGGCCGCATCGGCTCCGAGAAGCCTGCAGCTCGGCCCCCGGTGACATTTTTTCGGCCCGC